CGTCTTTGGCGCGCCACGGTGTGGCCCTGTCTGGCATACGGGTTAGAAGTCTGCGCACTCTCGGAGGAACACCATGCCCAGATTCAAACTCTGGTGATGCGACATCTTCGAGGCATCGCACGGAGCCCAGCTCACCTAACGCATGAATCAGACATTGCCCATTGCCCATTGCCCTTGCCGCACGCTTGCAAGTCCCTCTTCCGCGGGCGGCCCTCCGGCGCACATTTGAGTCGGCCTTCGGTCGTCAGGAGCCGGATGACCCCTTTGTGCTCTCCTTTGAGCATCCGTGGAACCAGTCCCTGGCGCAAGGTCTGGCGGATCCAGACCCGGCTCCGGGCCCCACTCCCTCTCAGGCCTCATCTACCGTGGTGCGGGTTTCTAACCCACCGCCTCTTCCTGTCACCGACGAGGCTCACGGCTCGCCACAGTCCGTATCGCGCTTGGAACCCAAAACGCCGATGTCGACGGTCTGCGCTGACCCTTCCTCGAATTCAAAGGCCACGAACTTGGTGGAGACCACATCACCACCGCGTTTATTGGAGGTCGCGCCCCCACCCATCCCGGCCGGGAACCCAGGACCGTATTTGTGTCCGCAGTGCCACAAATCATGCGACACCAGGAAGACCCTTAAACTACATTTATCACGGGCACACAAAATTAGTACGCCTCAGCACCCCTTTGATCGCGCACTGCACTCGGTCGGCGGCATGCCCACTTGTGCCATGTGTCATCACAAATTCACGCGATGGGAGGTCCTGGCAAAACATGTCAGCTCTTGGAGCTGTCCTGCTATGCCCTTACCGTCTACGCACACCTGTGCTCAGAATCCCTCTCCCGGCTTACCTCAGGCTGATGACCTGCCAGATGCAGCGATGGCCTCGGCTCCTTTGCTTGCACAGGACTCGTCTGCACCCACTCCGCCCCTAACAGGCTGTCAGGAGCTACGCGCAGCTGACACCTCAGACTTGGTTTCCACAGATACAAGATCCGGCCACTTCGTCCTCAATACTCAGGTCACACTGCAGCCCGAAAGTCTTTGGGCCAGAGCTATGAACATCTTGACCGAGGGTGGACTTCCGGCTTTGCTGCGCCATCCGATAAATCAGGAGCTACTTCATCATTGCGGCATCTGTGAACAGTGGCTCGCGACGCCCACTGCTTTGAGAAATCACTATCGCACGATGCATGCTCTGATCCATGATAGGCTCACAGGGCAGGTTGACAAGCTCATGCTGCGTTCCGGTATAGCTATGAATCCATGTCTGTACTGCAATGTGTCACACCGACACCCCAAACAACACTTGTCTCATTGTGTCAGTCTTTGGCAGAGTTGTTTCCTTCACGCACTCTCCCTACATGACGACCACGACTGCACCTCTGAGTTCCCCAGCGGACGAGGTGTTGGGGCAGCTCCAAAGCTGCTTCGGGAGCGTGCTGGCCAACAAGCGCAGCATGGACGATCCCATGCAGGCGGTGCCGGCGGACAGATTCCAGAAAACGGGACGCGGAGCGATAGCCCTGGGAGGCCAGGGCAAAGGCTTCCAAGGCAAAGGCGGCAGACGCCGTCCAGGGGGCCGACAACAGGGGAGAGGGGAGAACGGCCGAACCCACCACAACCCCGACAATCGCAGCTTCTCGAGTGGATCCACGGAAGACAACGAGGATGCGGAAATCCTGCATCTGCTAGCGAAAGCAGTGGTGCGACACGAAGACTCGATCAACATCCTACGCCGGTCCACCGGCTGGGTATGGTGGGCCCGTTCCGGGGAGGGCTCCATCCTCCCGCTACTCTCCGATCTGGCGCGCAAATGGTCAGAGGCTGCCAACAGCCAGGAGATTCAGCCCAACCGAGTGAGCTTGCGCGTCACTCTCCTCTGGGGACTCTTGACCTGTCTCCAGGACAAGATTACCAACCTCACCCAGGATCAGATGGCGTTTGCAGTTCGCAGCTCGTGGGCGGACGCGAATGGGGGATGGAACTTCCAGAAGTGGGATGCTCACCATCAGATGCTTGTCGTGGACACGTCTCGCCCGCCGTTGAGCACTGCGCAGGTCAAGGAAAGCTTGGGGACTCTCCTTCAGGCGATCAACGGCGACACGCTGACTCGGTTCTCGGCGACTCAGGAGATTCGGGCAGACGCTCAGGGCAAGATCACCTTCCATGCGGACATCAGTCTTCGAGCGCCGGGCTCCGATGCCCTCTACCAAGAACTGGTCCGACTCCAGAGCTGCGCGATCTTTCAGATCATCGGGGTCCAGTTCAAGCAGGAGGGATATCACCGCCCCCCTCTCATCCGGAGGCTTCAGCAGCTGATTAGATGAGGCGCATCACTCTGACTAATCGCACTAACATTTGTTACCTCAACTCGGTGGCACTCAGCATCGCATGGTCTGTTCTCTTTTGCACCCCGCACTTGCAGTCGCTTCTTTGTCCGCATGGTCGCCGCGCTCTCAATGTGTTGGTTGATGCGGTTGGTCCGGTTAACCTGCTGCATAGCCCCCCCTGGCAACGCATGCTGCACAACTGGGCACAGCCCACCCGTCAGCATGACGCGGCTGAACTACTTATGCATCTTACATCGTTGCTTGGGCCCCAGGTCTTTGATGGCGTGTGGGAGTCCCGGCGTCAGGAGCCCGGGCAAGTACGCACACTCGATGGCGGCACATGTGCCGCAGCGATTTCCCTGGATCTCCCGGGGCAAAATAGCAGTGCCACCTTACAACAGCTGGTCAACTCGTGGCATTACCAACATACCATACAAGCCCTCCTGCAACCTCCACCCTTGCTCGTCCTGAGACTCTCCAGGTTTGTAGCGACCCGCCGCAGCTTCAGGAAACACACAGGCCGCGTTAGTTGGAGCACTGCGCTTCAGGTTCCGTACTTCACTAGTGCCACATTGCAGACGAAGGTCATTGAATATCGAGTTTTGGCGGCTGTATGTCATCAAGGCCAGTTTGCCACATCGGGTCATTACACTACGATTCTGCATCAGCGTACCCAGGCATGGCTCTGTGACGATAATGTTAAGCCGAAGCCTTGGCCGCCAGATTCTGAAGACCCACTGCAATTCTCCTCGCATCAGGTATATCTTTTGATATGCCGGCGAGAGGGAATGGCCAACTGAGGATCAGGCCAGATTACGCGCCGAGCGCACACAGCGCTGATGACTGTCGAGCTGCCTTCGCCCTCTTCAGGTTGGCACTGGTCGCATCGCTCTGATGCGTGGGGTCACTGAGGGGACTCGTTGGCGCTCCGGTCGAAAGCAGCGTGCGCGCTGACCGTTACTGGTCATCCATGTGCGTACCGAGCTATTTGTAACTGTCTTTTCCATGCACTTCCCGCCCCTTGCACCCCCTTGCATCCCTATCTTACCGTGTCGGTTGGAACGGCTCACAGCAGCATGCATAAGCCACGCATGCTCGATTGTTCGATAACTTATTCTTAGGCATTAGTCCCTACCCCACCCATCTCATTTAACTTCTCAGCCAGTTCCGTTCAGTTCCGATCCGGACAGCCAGGGTGCCACTTCACCACGACGGTTCACACACGATACCCCACCATAACCCTCCTCTCCACATTTCATGCCTATCACTCCCACTAACCACTGAGGCCATATAACCTCTTGGATCAGGCTCTCCCGCGGTCGTTGACCTCGGGCCCTCGTGGCTCACCGCTGCCCCGCATTGCCTCCGGCTCCTTTAACCTTCGGAGCGTTTGACGACGATTGATACTCTGCCATTGTGCTGTCTGCGTCTGCACCTACGCCAGGCCTCTGCTCTGGGTACTGCTCAGGCACTTGCCTGTAGGTGGCTGGATCCATTTCGCGATTGTCTCCGACGTTGTCATTGAGCTCTTTCAGAGTATTGGGGCGCTGGGGTGCTGGGGTGTTCTGCCCTTGCACTCCCGCCAATTCAGTTGGTGCTGAGGTTTGAGGTTTGAGGTCTGGGGTCCAGCAGGGAAATTTGAAAAAAAAAGAGCGCATGTTACCACAAAAGCCCGAACACGTGCCTCAGGAGTTATGGGAGCTGGAGCTCCCATCAATCTTAGGATTGGCACATCCTCGCATCGTGGATGTCGACACCGACTCGGATGAGTTCTCGCCGCTTGGCGCCGATGTCTTCACTCAGCCTACCCAGATATCGGATCAGGCCCTAGTCGGAGTCTCAGCCTCCTCGTCTACGTTGGCAGCTGCGTCATCTTCTTCGCCTACTTCCCACCATCCACTGACACACCCTTCGCGCTCGACCATTGCAGGTTCCGAGCCCATCTTCGACGTTGATGCGGACATGACCGATCCAGTTGATCAGAGCGTGTTGGACACTCAGGTCTATACGGCGCCTGAGGCGCCCGCTGTCACAGCTGGGGACTGGGGAGAGGTTTGGAACATGGAAAGGCCGGCGCAGGGATTTCTAACATATGAGCTGCAGCTGGACAACATTACTTTGCCCCCAGTGCCGGAACAAGATGCCTCAGCGATGGAATGGCTAGCCTACTTCGTGTGCTCTAAGCGCAACTGCACAACAGACGATCTGCGCCACCTCTGTCAGCTCCTGCCCTCGCAGACTTCGGCCAAACGACGCAGGACTACAACTTCTGATGGAGGCACTGGCCGTTCTCAGCGCAGTTTCTCAGTTGGGGCCTACTCGGCAGGAGGATGCCATGGAATACAGTGCAACACCTTTAATTTTCCCTGGACAGCGTGTTGGCTAGCATCTATGGTTCAGGCGGCGGCTCCTTCACATCGGTACAGCACTTGCACATTGCTTCACAACGTGATGCATTACCGGCACACCGACAGCCGGAACGCACCGAACACCACTAACCTCATTATTCCTTGCGACTTCTGGCGAGGGGGGCAGCTTTGGGTTGCCAATCCCCACGGTTCCATCCATTTGGACTCCACCTCAGGGCCGGGGTTGTTGCGGGAGATTGTCAGACCCTATGTGATTCAGGACCCGATGACCCCGCACGCGACCTTTCCGTGGTCACATGGAGACAGAACCATTCTGGTTGCTCATCATGCGCGTGGACTGGAAGCCCTCACATGCGATCAGAGATCAACCTTAACTGGTTTTGGTTTTCAGCTGCTTCCTCTGTCTGGTGAGGCGGCCTCCAGGGCGACTTGATCCAGTATTCCGCATTGCTGCAGTCGGCACTTCGGCATTTCTGCGATTCTGCAATTCTGCATTTTGCGTTTCAGCATTCCCGCTTTCTGCTTTTCTGCTTTTCTGCACTTTCGAGCTTCTCCGGCTTGAACGGGGATGGTACATGACATTGGTCAGAATACTCTGTGACTTTATGGCTTCATCACTTACTCTGGATGTTGGATGTTGGAGCTCACACTGACGATCATGGGCCTCGCCTCTTTTTTACGCTAAGGCAAAGGATGTACAGTTGATCGTCGGTGCATAGTGAGATTTCGATTTCTTTTGAGCGCTTGTCTTCG